GCACGGTCCGACTCTGGAAATCATCATGCATACTATAGACACTGGACTAGGTGCGTTCGTCTAGGTCTTCTTACCAATATGACCAAGTTGCGAAAACAAGGTCAAACAACTTCTTTTAAACTGACGTTGTTGGTTCGGTCCTCGAAGCATTAGTTAATGGACCTAACAAGATCACAAAGCTAAATATAAATCCATATTCGCCCCTAAACTGCTGGCCAATCGTTATATTTAAACATATTTAAAGTCAAGGAGCTTGTTTAATTTTTAAGAAATTTAACATCGATTTGACGCGAGAGTCTCTGTTGTGGTTTGGGAAGAATAGGATGAAGACTATATAAGCATGAAAATATTAAAAAAATAATTGGTGGAATAAACCAAAATCGTATAAATTCAATAAATGATAAAAGAAAAGCAAGTAACCAGTAATCACAGAGATAATTTACAAATAACTGTGGAGAGATAATGTAATTAATGAAACTCTCAAGAGAAAAGGCAAGTTTCTTCTTATAAAAGTATTCATTCAAGATAAAATAGCTCATCAATCGGCTCGCCGAATTAAAATAAAATATGTACATCACTTAACGGCTTATTTATGTTTAAAGTTCATGAGCTATATTTCGTCTGCATCCCCACCGTCGTATTCTTCAAACTCTTCGGAATCAAGGCATAAATCTTGGTCTGTGTTAGGCAAGCTACGAAGGCAACGATCCCGCGAGAAGGTAAATGTCTCCGAATATGTATTAGCGATTGGCCCTTCGATCTTATCCTGCTCCGGCTTTGGCTTAACTAAGGTTTCTTTATCAGTAGTGGCATATGCAGTCATGTCTGAAATATAGTCATAATCACCACCGATACCAGCAGATCCGAGGTGCATGTTTGGGTCGTCAGCATTATCAACTTCTTCCTCCTCTTCCTCTTCGTCATCATCAATATCATCATCGTCATCATCATCGTCATCGTCATCATCAGCCATGACGTCTGCCTCCTCCTCGCATAGATCCGCATCCCCATCCCCATCTCCATCACCATCACAATCGGCATCCGCCTCAACTTCGACATCTGTATCCATATCACATGCCACACTGTCTGCATCGTCAGCGTCAAGATCTGCGTCATCATAATCATCTCCATCGTCATCATTATCTCCATCTTCATCCTCCACTTCTCCACATATATCAGTATCCAAACCTGTACCCACAATGTCTGTGCCCAAATCTAAGTCGTCGTCTCCCTCGAATATGCATGCTTCATCAACCTCGTCTCCAACTGCTGCTCCCACATCTTCATCACCCAGATCCCCATCACTCTCGTCGCCAACGGCTCCAGCAGTAACGTTAACCTCACAGTCGATGTCCACTTCCTCTTCATCAATCCCCTCATTTTCTTCTTCCTCTGCGGCCTCTTCATCCTCGTCTTCTGCTTCTGTCTCGTCGTCATTTTCTTCTTCAACTTCGTCATCCTCATCTCCTGCTTCTTTCTCACCTTCATCATCTGGCTTTCTTCCGATAAAGGGCAACTGATGTTCGTTTGTTTTGGACTCGGGTTTTCGCCAACTGGAGAAAATAGGATGGTTTTGATTGTTCCGCGTCTCATCTAAATCGATGCTATCGCCTGTACTCAACCGACTTAGAAGAGATCTCAACCCACCGGCTAAAGTAAAAGTTTCTTGACTCGCTTCTTCTTCCTTTCCTTTTCTAGTATTTTGTATATGTCCATTTCCTAAAGACTCCTCAGCTTCTGAGTTCTCAGATGAGCTAACAAATAGATCAGAATCCAAACCATCCTCGAGGCCGACACGTAGAAGTTCTCTACAACGAGAGAACAATTCCTCAGGACTACGCTCTGACAAAACTGGTGATTGGGGATTGTTCTGTTGTTGTTGGTAGTGGTTTA